AATTCCATCTGTGGGTTCCAGCATGAATCCTCTCTTAATTTACCTGTTCTAGTCCTTCAACTGTTGACGTTTCCTTGTGGTCGTCAACTCCAACATACAGTGGTGATCGTTTAAGGGACAGTTTTGCTAAATCTTCGATCTTTTTGGTTTGTGTTGCAGAGAAAAGAACTGTTTGTCTTTTACCTGAAACGTTAGAAAAAAATTAAAATCAAAAATTTCCTCAAAGAGGTTCTTAGCTCTTTAAGAAGTATTTCTCATCAATTCAGATGATCTTGAAGAAAAAGCCCAAAAATAAAACTTAGGGAGACCTTATAGAGAGAGTAATACAGATAATAGACAGTTCCAGCTTGTAGCATCAAATGAGGGACAAGATCAAAACAACAGTCAAAAACAGAACGCAATTTTAGTGACTAAGATGGTGGGTACATACATGTACTGGTACCGATAAATACCTGACTCCCTGACCCAATAATAGACCTGTCCTAATACAATACAATTGTATTTATAAATAAGTTATGTCTAATTAGAGTAAAGACTCAGCTTACTTGGTAAGATTTTGATAATTTGTTTCATTTCTTCTTCAAATCCTATTTCCAAGATCCTGTCTGCTTCATCTATGACTAAACACTGCAGGTTACTAAAGATGAACCCCTGAGTGTTCTGGAAGAAAACAAAAAATGTACTGTAATCACCTGGTCATAAGTAAAGCCCTAAGGTGAGCTTATAATTGAGGGCCTTGAACCAGTAACTGGGGGACGGGGAAGGGTGCACATCTCCTGCACCCTTCTCTTAGATTTGTCCAACCCTGTAGTTAGCATGTTATGTACCATTAGGCTTTTCATGAGTTCTATAAACAGGATGCATTATGGTCTAGCTTGGGTTTAATCATCATAATATAAAACATGATGAACAGAAGATGTTTGTATCCAAGCTAAACCACAATGTATTTGCTATCTTAGTAAAAGCTAAACAAGGTGCATTCTGGTCTAGCTTGGGTTTAATCATCATAATATAAGCAAGATGAACTAAATGTTTGTACCCAAGCTAAACCACAATGCACCATGTTTGGTATGTCAGAAAAGGTCTAAAGGAACTAACCTGTAAATGATCCAGTAACCTTCCAGGAGTTGCGATCAACAGATTGACACCCTTCTGTAGACGTTCTGCTTCAGTTTTCCTGTTGACTCCACCCATTATTATGCCATATGTGAAGTTATGATCTTTTAGCAAATCCCTGGCTACTCCATAGGTTTGAAGAGATAACTCGCGCGTTGGAGATATGATTATTACGCCAGTGCCTAATGATGTGTTGAATCGAAATTAAATATCAAAAAGACATCTTTTGTCGTAGTGCAATATTTTCCCATAAAAAAACCACAGGTCACTTCCCTTGAGTATCATTTCTTTGTTTAACGGTTGCACATGAGAAGACACAATCATGAATATGGGTACAACTCAAACAAAGWAYCTTATTCTSAAGAGAATGACACTTGGTCTGAAAGGAAAACATTGCACCATTATGAATTACATCTATTCCAAAAAGGTAATAAGTAAGTTATATTTTCTAAAAATCCTATGACTTTTCTTTTCTGCTTCACAGAATATTATCAAACAGCCATTGGCAGCAGTTTTGGCACGAAACAGAAATCAAACCCTTGCAAGGGAAACAAGTGGCCTACTCGCAACTTCATTGGTTGCAAGATGTTTGCACTGTCTTTGCGCTGGACAAATTCTCCTTCCATGAATAGGGAGAAGAAAAAGGTTGACTACTTAAACCAAGTCCATGTAAAAAAAGTTTAAGCTTGAGCGAGGTACACAGTTGTGTATTAAATTTTATGATTATTCTAGCACTGGCAATGTTGACAGCATTTTTGTTGTTGGTGGTAGTGCTTGTGGTGTATTTATCTTATTTCAATGGTTCTTGTAGGTAGTTGTGTAAATATGTTCTTGCCGCTTGTGGTTGTTAATCTAACGGATCACATTTTGTTAGGTTTTGGTTGTATTGTTTTCTAGCATGTCTTACCATTTCGTGATTTGAATCCCAGCTTGTACAACAGCTCAACTACAGGTATGAGAAATGCAAGTGTTTTACCACTACCGGTCTTAGCAGCACCAAGAAGATCTCTGAAAATGAGCACAACAAAATGTCATCTTTAACATGGCAGTCTCGTTGATGTACAACCTTTAATGATTATTATTYTAATGTTTTGAAATAAAGGCTACTCTATCATATYAATYAATAAGACTCAAAAAAGARTCTTATTCTCAAGAGAATGATATTTATGGTCTGAATTTGGAAAATGTTACGCCAAGCCAAAAGGAACTATAAATCCCTTACATCATGTCGGAATGCARCTCAATTTAGAGGACATAACAATAGGTTTCCAATTCTCAGAAGATTCTTTTGTTTTGTCCCCCAGATYGAGCTGCTTTRACATCACATACAAGGGGTCTATYATTTAGTGAGTGGCAAGAAACTAGTGAATTAAGTTTAATATATTTAACAAATAAAACAGCTTTTTCTGTGMTCTTTTCAGTATGATAAAGCACACAGGAAGTGACGTATGCATGAAGGAAGTGTAAGGAAGTGCTTCCTAAGTGCTTTATTACWGAACGAAGCAYGGAAAAAGCTGCTTTATACATTTTATCATATAGAAYTTACTAATTTTATTAAGATATTAAATTTATTTACAACAAACATAAAATAAAGATGATCGCAGGATCTAGCAGCACTTTGCCTGCATAGATGGTGTCAGCACTGTGCTTTGTTCACTAATAAAGCTATATAATTTATTATTATACTATCCTAACTATATAATAAAGTTCAAAAYATAATTCCAACATTCTATCTTACCTTCCTTTTAACAGAGGAGCAATACTCTTATGTTGTATTTCTGTCATGTGCGTGAAGCCCATCTCTTTCACTCCATTCAGSGTCTTCTCACTTACCATCCCTTCCAGTGATTTAAACTCAGTACTGTCTGGTAGAACTGTGTCTAGGAATAAAAAGTACAAATGTTTTTGCTACGCAATCATGACTTACTCACAGATTAAACCCTGAAAAATCCTCTGGGCTGATCTAAGTCAGGGCATGGCTAACTCACATATAGAACCCTGAAACAACCTCTGGGCTTATCTAAGTCAGGGCATGGCTAACTCACAGATCAAACYCTGAAACAACCTCTGGGCTGATCTAAGTCRGGGCATGGCTARCTCACARATMRAACCCTGAAACAMCCTCTGGGCTGATCTAAGTCAGSGCAYGKCTAACTCACAGATYAARCCCTGAAGCATCCTCTGGGMTGATCTAAGTCAGRGCATGGCTAMCTYACAGATCAAGGGAGWTCGAGGCCCAAGCAGGTGCRGATCCAGGAATTTCAGAAGGGGGGTGACTATTACATTGCATTTGATGGTGAGCCTAGGAATCAAAACCTAGAGATCCCAGAAATTTGTTATAAGAGGTGAGTGCAATGTATTAATACACCATCCTTGACTTCCACAGAACTTTAGAAGTGAGAGGCCAGTACTTAAACTATATTACACCAAGACTATGTGTGTTCAAATAGCTTTTGGCACAATTTGTAATTTATGATTTATATTTATAATGCCACTCACCAGCTGGAAGAGGAGTTTCAACATGTTCTTCACCATCAGGCTTAGCTTCTTCCTTACTTTCTTCGATTTGTTTTACTACAGGGGAAAAAAAGCACAGAAAAGCCCCAAATTAGAGCGATTTAAATCCAAAAAATCCAAGAATACTGACAAATAAAGCACGTGTAGCSAACCAACTTCTTCAAATTGTTTATTATATATTATTTTGTTTTTCGCGCAAGACTTCAACTATTTGGAAAAGAAAACTTTATCTATAATTAGAATACTATCATACAAAGAAGCCAACATGGAGAAGTAGTGCAGTAATGACGAAAGAATAGTTCGTAAACACGCATAAAAACACTTAAAGAAATTTAACTTTTACCTTAAATATTTCTTACTCATAGCTTCGATTAAAACGATAAATACTTTGAAAATACTCACCCGATTTTTGCTTCTCTTGGGCCATTTTTTCCTTTCTTTTCTTAAGTTTCTTTAACTTTCGTATATGACTCTCCATTTTGAAGATAAAGTATATTTTTTTAGAGGAAAAAAAAAAGTTAAAAACTCACAAAACCAACACGTGAACCTACGAGCTGCTCGTTGGGGTTATCCGCTGACCGCATCATACAACTTTTCAACACAGGAAGCCCAGAGTAATTTTTCACTTTCTATTTCTGAAAATTCTGAAAAGTCATAGTTTAGTGTTGTAGAGTGCATTCAGTCAAACTGTTGAATAGTTGACGTCACCTAAATTAGATAAGTAAGTTACTWTTAGCTGACCTCACATAAATTTGAAACTACGAGTAAAMCGCTACTGAGATCAGGGGGAGAATAGATGATACAAATGAATGTCTATTCACTCATCTGGTAAAACAAACCCCCCCGGATTAGCATGACCTTTATTTGGCGCGCTTTTACTATTTTAGGTGACGTCAACTAAATAGTTATCTAAAGTTAGATAAATTTATCTGACTATTTATAAAATTGACTGAATGCACTCTAGTGTTATGACCAAAACTTACTGCGGTTTTGTTGCTAGACAAAAAGAAAAATTCTCATGTATTATTGCACAACCTTGATTCGGCATTATCCGCAAGTAGAATCGAGTTCACACAGTTTGTACCAACAATTTCTACACTTTCTGGTTTCTATTTCGTATACGACAGTGAAAAGCTCACGGTACCATCACGCCGTGACAGTGAAAGTGCTAATCAAGCATTCTCATTGTTGGACAAGTAGTGAACTACTGCGCTGATTGGTTCAAACAAGGGCACTAGGACACCGAACGTGGTTGGACTTCTAAAGTTTTTTTCTCCTTTCGATTATTTGAATTAAATTAAACGTATATACTTGTTTACTTATCTTGTGTCCTTGCTCCTTCGCTCTGTTATAAATGCAGACGTTTTCTTCCAAAGGTCAAATGGTTTGAATAGCCGATGAGCGTTACTTCTTTACTAGTAACGGCCGTTCCGTACTCGACTCTGTTTGTACCAACAACAAGTTTGGAAGTTTCTTTGAGTAAAAGTTTTCGCACGAGTGTGGATTTTAGTGTGTGTGGTAATAGTGTGTTGTCGGGGGCAAGAGGACTAATTGTTTTAGTTAAATCCAACTCTAGTAGGTCAAATATATAAATGCAAACAAGTTTTGATAAATTAAAGTTCAATTCGATGTTTTGTTTTTCAAAGCCAGCACTTTTCGCTACCAGTAGGCTATAGCTTATAGTAGTGGCTCATCCAATCAGAACGCAGCATTGATGATAGACCACTTGTTGGATTTGACTAAAGGTTGTTATTGATGGTTTGCAAGAAAAGGAAATGGCGGCCAGATTGATAGTATTAACAAAGGAAGCTAATGGGGAATCTTTTGTTGGTAAATACCACCAACATGGCCGCGGCGACGTAACGTGCAAATGAAGAATACATTTTCAAAGGCATTTGCTGATTTTCTAAATTTGCATTGATTTTATTGGTATGTTGGTTATTTTTCTTCTTTGTTGTTAGATTTCTTAATATTCAAYGCCATATTTTTGATTTCTTGGAGTTTTTCTTCTAAAAGGGCACCAGCGCTTTTCTCGCAAGCCTCTTCTTCACCCGGCTCACTCTCGTCCGTAACTGGACCACCTGTCAGACGCTTCACTACAAGGGACTGGTACCGAGTCAACGTCTCTTGCTGTTCGGGGGTCAAATGAGAAGCGAGGAACGAAATGATTTGTGGGACACATCGGCCAGGGGCGTGGATAGGAACAGAAGTGAAGTGCTGGAATAGTAAGACCGTTACAAGATGAAGAGCCATTGCGGGCTCGTCTTCTTGACGAAGCTGTTCTTGAAGAGCGGCTCTGTGTTCGATGGCAAGTTGTCTAGAAAATAGAATAACGTGATGTTGATTATGATACTAGAAAATTTTGAACGTTTGGTGTGGCTTTATTTTTGATGGGTTAAATCGAGGAAGGAAGGAAGGAAGGAAGGAAGGAAGGAAGGAAGCAGGGACGGATCCAGGGAGGGGCAATGGGGGTTTGTAGCCCCCCTTCAGTCCCCCCCCCCCCTATATATTTTTGACTGCCTCCGCTCCTGGGAAGGAAGGAACTCCATAAGAAAAAAAGAATGGAAAACTAAAAAGAGTACACTTCACATACTTTTCTTTCTTTTTGTCCAGTTTCTTGATCATAAATTCACACAAATCCGGACCTGAAACCACCTCAAACTGATTGAAGAAATCTGAAGTCTCCTAAAAAAAGAAATAATGATATCGCTTGTTTTCATTCAGTTGCTACTGCTGTTGTTGTTGTTGTTGTTGTTATTTGTTCTTTTTGAAGTTRATTACTCTTCCCTGTACCCTTATGGAGGGCCTAATTTCCCAAGGGAACGAAACGCAGGACTAAGTAGTAGTAAAAGACCCCTTGAACTGAGTCCCTCGACAAAACAATGWATTTTTTTGTATAAGAAAAGACGGCCTATTATTTTATCCCCCAGAACAATTCCTCTAGGAATTCAATGCAAGGAGTCTATACCAGAAACATTTTACTATTCTATTGCTAATCATGTCTCGATATATAAGACTCGTATGGATCTTTATCATGCTTGTAATTCACCTTTTCGGCGCTAGCCGTTAAATTGTTTTACATTGTGTTACATTCACCAAAAAGTTCGGACATTGTTCTCGAATTTCCTTACAATGTACYGACTCTAAATGAACTATTTACTTGGTTAATGTTTAGTTAGTTCTCTAAATACAAGTAAATAATCATTTTTCTAGCTTGATTGAAGCTTTTCTTACTGCTGTTAAGAGAGCCAACTAAAGAAATCTACCTAAATTTTCTCTTTAAAGTCAGTGAATTTGTATGGAAATCCAGAACAATGTTCGAACTTTTTGGAGGCCGTAACACAATCCAATCTAGCACCGAAAAGGTGAATTCCAAAGGTATCCAAAGCTAACGATAGACGAAAAATTACCACAGCTGGAAATAGCATGTTCGAATTAGTAAAATTGTGAAGCTTGAAGGAAGTAAAGTCAAAACTCGCGAAGATATGATTTTTTTTCAAAAGTCCGCGAAATTTGGTATAAAAACATTCGTTGGTTAGCAAGAGTGCCTACCAGCAAATGTTATCTTACAAAATTCACACTTTTCGAAAATAATATCTTCGCGAGTTTTGAACTTAGTTCATTCAAAATTTACAGTTTACTGACTASAACATGCAGTCTTTCTAGCTGTGGAATTTTTTCTTTTTTCTTTTAAATACTTATTTAAAAAATACTCAGTGATTAAAAATCATTGTTGATGTTGTTTTCTTTCTTACCTTGGCGTTTAATGAAGAATTTAACTTCGATAGTGGAGACTTCACTTGATCTGGCATCTTGGAGATGATCTTCATTCGATTCTGTTCGAAAAATGATGGAATAAATCACGGTTGTGTAAACGTTTTTCACGGTGTGGGTGTGAGTGACGTGAAAGCCACTAAAATGCTGAACCATCCAGTATACATRAATCATTTCTTTTAATCATTAAAATTGTGAATGATAGCCTCAGTTTTACAGAAAATTAGTTCAAAATAAATAAGTACTCATCTTCTAAAGCATTTCTAAACTTGTTTTTAAACTTTTGACTGTTTTTGCATGAAGCTTATTAAGTGGGTTTGAAATTCATATCGGATGAAAAAATTTTCCCTGTGAGTGACGTGGAAGCCACTACAATGCTACACCACTTTAATACATGTGGTCCAGGTGAATAAAAATTTTAGTCATTGAAATGGTAAGATTTAACCACAATTAATCAATTTTTCCCCCACAGTAAACTAAAGAAACAAGTACTCATTTTCAAAATATTTCTAGGATAAATTTTATCGGTTTTGGTTTTGGATGAAGCTCAGGAATTCGGTTCAAAATTCATGATGAAAGAATATATATTATCGATGTGAATGTCGTCACTAAAATGTTACGATGCTCAGTACAGAAATTAAGGATTTGTGTAACAAGGAAATTGTGAATTTTGCATTACGATATAATGACTTTATTTCAAGAAGAAAAAGCAATAAAGTTTTAAATAAAGTATCTCAGAAAGCACTTTAACAATTTTTTAACACTTGAACAAATTTTCGAATAAAGCCTATAGTACTCTTTTTTCCTTTTCATTTTCTCTGACCTATGTTTCCTTCAAAAATCTCTAGTATAAAAAAGTAGGTTTCTTGAGATGCCACGCTTACGGTACGGTACGGTACGGTGAATGTTACGGAACGCAATCTACAACATCAGTTGAACCAATCATAGAGCGAGAAGCTACCGCTCATCCAATCAGAATGCTTGGACTCCGTACCGTAAAGGTCACGGCGCGGGAAGTTCGTACCGTAGATTTTCACAGTCATCCAAAATCTCCTCTCTAGTTTAATGAATATATATACCTCTGGCGACAATGAACTCTCGTCTGTGACAGCGAGCATCTGGTCAGCGGCCAGCATGTTGACAATAAGATTCACGATGTCGGTACAGACAGTTCGTAAAAGATGTCTCGATAGGTGGACTTGTACATCGTCTGCTSAAACAAAATAATGGGAGGTGTTCAAATGGAAAGCTTTTTATGCAACCGGAAGTAAAATTATATTTCCGCAAACCCTCCATAATGAGTAAATCTTTGGAGAGAGTGACGTAAGCTCTACTTTAGCCAATCATCAACTGCTCCACCACACCACACCAAGACYCTCTCAGTAGGGTTTGGGCGAGACAGGGTTGAGTAACGACTTATTCTCTCCTTTCTCTTATAACCGGATGTACGTCAAAATAAATTTTAAAAAAATTAGAGGAATGATGTACTTCCGGGTCTAAATACTCACTAAAACTTAAAACTATATTTAAGGCAGAAATTTATTTTTCATCTCGCCATTTAGCTGGTCAAAGACTCCACACGGGACCGGAAATGACGTCTATACAATCATGTATATATTATTATAGGATTTTCAGATAAATTTTACATCACGGTAAATTATTATACTTGTTATTAATTTATTATTATCTATTATTTATTCATATATATTTGTAGTCTTTGCATGTTTTTATGAGACAAATAAAGACCAATTATTATTTATCATTATTATTATTATTATTACAAATGATGTCACAACTTTTTAAAAAGCTACTCACCGTCGAATAGTTTGATCCCCTTATCAAACAGCCTGGCACTAGCTATCAGGGTGTTGACCTTCTCTTGTACCTCAGAGTGACTCTTTCTCTTTTTATCACCGGAAGTCTGGAACACTGTTCGGACAGCTTGCTGGTATGCACGGGTCAG